GGAGAGAGAGAAGGCGAGGCGGCTGAAACTCCGAAGTCAGAACGAAGTGACGAAATGGCTGCAGAAGAAGAGAAAGGAGGAGGTTCAAAGGAGAAGAGAGAGGAAAAGAGCAGAGGAATTGAAGCTGGAGGAAGAGGAGAAAAAGAAGAGAGAGAAACAAAAATTAAAGCGTCGGGCGAGGGCAGCGTACAGGGAATGGAAGGAAATGAAAGAACAAGAGGAAGAAGAGACAAAGAGAAGGTAAGAAAGATAAACGAGTTGTATATAATTATAAAGTTAATGACAAAGATTGGTAATGACAATGAAAAGGATAATTATACTGAAATACTTTTGCTAATAAAGACTTGATTAGGACAAATGATGGTGAAAACCGTATAAATGTTGCTGCTAAAAGTAATGACAATGATAAAAGTTTTATTGGTAACGATCCTACTATGGCTTTTACTAATATAACAACAACTACTACAACTGTTACTGCTACTAATCTTACTAATACTATTACTACTACTGCTACAACTTCTGCAGCAGCATAAGCAACAACAACTATTACTATTACTACTACTACTAACATGTCAGTTATGATAAGTGATCATAGCGGAAATGCTTATGATAATAACAAGTGAAATATTAATGGGAATCTTTATTCTAAACAACATATACAGGAGAAGACTATAAAAAAACTATCTTTAAACCTTCTTTACTGATTTTCCCCTATTCATTTAGTATTATCATCTATTTCTATTTTATTTTTATGTATCAATTTAATTATCCACTTATTGATATTTTTCCATTTGCTTATTCATTTATTTACCTATTTACTTATCAGTGCCTTTATTGATTTTTCATTAATTTATTTATTAATTTCTATTAATTAATTACCATTTTTTTTCCAGGGATCAGGAACAAGAAGAGGCATCGACGAAGGAGCAGCAGAGACGTCTGGCAGCCGCTTCTCAAGCCTATGTGTCGTGGTTGAACACTCACCCACGACTCTCCCGGCGGTACGACTCGCGGGCGTATGCTGGGGGGAGGGTCGTGACCTACTATGACCGGGGTCGTCCGTCGTCGCCTACTATGGTTAATCCGATACCATGGAGGAGGCTTTGATGTTTGTTTTGTTTTGTGTGAGTTTGCGTGTTTGTTTGAGATGAGATGAATAAGGCAAAGGAAGAGATAAGAAAGGAGACAGGGCAAGAAAGGAAGAAGAGCAAATATTTACGTTTTTTTCACTGCTGAATGTGAGGGGATATTTTTCACGGCCATAAAAAGGTCAACAAATATATTATATTTAACTTAGAAATGTTTGATTTTCCCTGAATTATCTTTTAGCGAGAGGGCTATAACCTTCCCCCCCCCCTCCTTTCGTGTACATTAACAGAAGATATTTTCAGAGTTCACAGAAGAAGAATTAAATGTTTCCTTGTGTTCAGTTAGGTCCATCGAACAATTCAAGAACTACGGAAGATCCCAAAGCGCCTGAGCCTGAGCCGTTGGAAACCCCCGGAGCCCGAGGACCTGAAATATACACAAGCAATAACAATGTTATGCTTTAGAAAATACATCAGATCTGATTCATTGCATGTAATGCTTGTTTGCGAGAATTTGATAATGCAACCTCCCCCCCCCCCTTTCAAAAACCTGGCAGTAACACTGGCAAAGCCTAAACATTTTAGACACACACACTCACTCACTCTCTCTCTCTCTCTCTCTCTCTCTCTCTCTCTCTCTCTCTCTCTCTCTCTCTCTCTCTCTCACACACACACACAGACACCGAGTACATGTTCACCCTTCTCAACATTGGTGAAATTGGTCTTCATTACTTTTTCAATTGGAAGAAATTTCCTATTGAAATCTTTTTCCTCACGATCACCCTTTTCCTTTTTCTCTCTGTACTGAATTTTCCAGCAGTAATTTTAAATGGTTTAAGTGTTTCTTTAATTGAGATACATCTTGTTCACTAAAACCTGTAGTGTTTACTGGACCCTATCACCTAGATTTAAAACTCAGGTATAGTAATAAAAATTGAGTACTGTTATGGGAATCATCTATTGTTCCCATTCCTTCGGTGTTGTTAGTTTTCACAATGGCTAGTCCATGACTCCGTGCATTTATTTTGGTTGTATCAAAGAAAATTATTATTATTTTTTTTTTTTCAAAGAGTTGGCAATTTTATCTTCTTATATTAGTTTTCTATTTATACACTTTTATTGAAAACGAAGACATTTGATGGGTAACAATAATAGGTTTAACTTTTATTCATAAGGATAATACTAAATACAATTACTGCGAGCATTTCGAGAGAGATGTAGAGAGGATAAAAGTGAAATAGTGAAACACACTAGATGCGTCGATTGTTTAACATCAATACTTGATATAAGATATGAGGTCCAGTATTGTCATGTAAATATACGGTTATGTCTATTTTGTTGTTTTTCTGGGATTTGTGAATATATATATATATATATATATATATATATATATATATATATATATATATATATATATATATATATATATATATATATATATATATATATATATATATATATATATATATATATATATATATATATATATATATATATATATATATATATATATATATATATATATATATATATATATATATATATATATATATATATATATATATATATATATATATATATATATATATATATATATATATATATATATATATATATATATATATATATATATATATATATATATATATATATATATATATATATATATATATATATATATATATATATATATATATATATATATATATATATATATATATATATATATATATATATATATATATATATATATATATATATATATATATATATATATATATATATATATATATATATATATATATATATATATATATATATATATATATATATATATATATATATATATATATATATATATATATATATATATATATATATATATATATATATATATATATATATATATATATATATATATATATATATATATATATATATATATATATATATATATATATATATATATATATATATATATATATATATATATATATATATATATATATATATATATATATATATATATATATATATATATATATATATATATATATATATATATATATATATATATATATATATATATATATATATATATATATATATATATATATATATATATATATATATATATATATATATATATATATATATATATATATATATATATATATATATATATATATATATATATATATATATATATATATATATATATATATATATATATATATATATATATATATATATATATATATATATATATATATATATATATATATATATATATATATATATATATATATATATATATATATATATATATATATATATATATATATATATATATATATATATATATATATATATATATATATATATATATATATATATATATATATATATATATATATATATATATATATATATATATATATATATATATATATATATATATATATATATATATATATATATATATATATATATATATATATATATATATATATATATATATATATATATATATATATATATATATATATATATATATATATATATATATATATATATATATATATATATATATATATATATATATATATATATATATATATATATATATATATATATATATATATATATATATATATATATATATATATATATATATATATATATATATATATATATATATATATATATATATATATATATATATATATATATATATATATATATATATATATATATATATATATATATATATATATATATATATATATATATATATATATATATATATATATATATATATATATATATATATATATATATATATATATATATATATATATATATATATATATATATATATATATATATATATATATATATATATATATATATATATATATATATATATATATATATATATATATATATATATATATATATATATATATATATATATATATATATATATATATATATATATATATATATATATATATATATATATATATATATATATATATATATATATATATATATATATATATATATATATATATATATATATATATATATATATATATATATATATATATATATATATATATATATATATATATATATATATATATATATATATATATATATATATATATATATATATATATATATATATATATATATATATATATATATATATATATATATATATATATATATATATATATATATATATATATATATATATATATATATATATATATATATATATATATATATATATATATATATATATATATATATATATATATATATATATATATATATATATATATATATATATATATATATATATATATATATATATATATATATATATATATATATATATATATATATATATATATATATATATATATATATATATATATATATATATATATATATATATATATATATATATATATATATATATATATATATATATATATATATATATATATATATATATATATATATATATATATATATATATATATATATATATATATATATATATATATATATATATATATATATATATTATAGTACGACATATGCGTAAGTGTGTGTGTGTGTGTGTGTATTTGTGTGTGTCTTTGTGTATGTGTGTATATGTGTGTGTGTATGTGTGTGTGTATGTGTGTGTGTATGTGTGTGTGTGTGTGTGTGTGTGTGTGTGTGTGTGTGTGTGTGTGTGTGTGTGTGTGTGTGTGAGTGTGTGTGTGTGTGTGTGTGTGTGTGTTGTGTTCGCGCACATGCGTATATGATTTGTATACACATATGCTTTTGTGCTTCTGAGAATAAGTTTAAAGAGATCGAAATACATATGTTAAAATGTGTACGTTTGCGCGC